AAGATTATAGAACTATAACCAACATTCCACATAACAAGTAATATTATTCCATATTATTCCCGAGTATCGGAATATCTTGATAAGCAAAGTATAATTTATTTTTGTCTGTGTATATTTTTACAAAATTTATTTTTACTTATAACTTTATTATAGATTTTAATTTTTTTAATTTTAGATTCCTTCATATCCAAAAATATTGAGCACATATTAATAATATCTTATCAATATACTTTAAATCTATGCAGCACAAAATATTAAATACTTGGCCAACAATGTTGCATATTACAAATTCAGCAACATTACGGATAACATATGTAGAAATACTAATTTTAAACCAAAATGTGAATTACGATATTAGGCAATATGATATTTCAATATTTTGAAAACATTTAAAACGTATAACCACTCTTTAACTTTATCTATAAAAATATATTAATAATACTCTTTTTTATGTCTGTATATTGCGAGAATTTTACTTTTTTGCAAAAGTCAACATGAATTATTGACACAAATAATATGAGTAAATATTTATTTCTAAGCTCAGATAATCCTTGGCTATTTTTTTATTAAAATATAGATAAATTCTACATCCTGTAATAGTTACAAATTTCCTATCAATATATTTTTATGTTACCAAATATATTTTTCACTTCATGTACGAATACGATATTATCTTCAAAGATAATATATCTTTTTTTATATTAAGAAATATATTATTATATCTATCATTATATTTTCTGTACTTTTCACATGCAAATATATGTAATTAAACGATTTTTAAAATTTTAATTTTTAAATAAAAATGTAATTAGGAATGTATAATTAATTCTTATAACTAATATATAAATGTGTATAAAATACCTTTATAAGAGTATATAGAATATTTAAAATAAAAAAAGTGATTCGTAAGTAATAGTTTAGAGCAATTTTGTACAAAATATAACATTTTATTTATATGATGTTATGTTTAAATATAATTTGTAATATTTAGATATCTAAACTAGTATTTATATCAAGCTTTTTAATTTAATTAAATGTTCCAAGATATTCATCCATCAAAAACAAAAATATTTTATACGTAATGTATTAAATAGCTGCATAACATTGCATTCTTTCCAATATATTACACTGTAATATTGCTACAATATTTCATTGCAAAAAGCGAACACTTTAACTTTATCACAATCTTATAACAATAACTCAGCAAAGTTTCGCATTTGATTTTGCAATATTGCAATGTTTCAATGAAATTATTCTTCATATATCCGCAACCTTATCGTGCTGTATAGGTATTTTTCATTTGCCTTACCACGTTTGCTACACGTGTTGAAAAAATAAATCTTTCATCAGCGGCCATATAAAGTTTCCCATATTGAGAAATCTCAATATCAAGCGAACTTGTATAAAGTTCCCGATTGTAAATTTTTGAGATAGTATATTACTTTATCTTTATAATTCATTTTAAAAGAATTCATTGTTTGCCACTTTTTGCTGCAATATCTTTGTACTCTAGTGTAAAAATGATCGTCAGATTAATGTTGGAGATCCATGAAATGTTCATGCTATTTATGTCGACCCCGCTCAAAGTAATATTGTTTGGTTCTGAGGATATGTGAACGATCTTGGTTAAACTCTCGTTGTACAAATCGCTGAAATTAGTTGGATACACACGCACGTATATCAAGTAATTTTGTATTGTAGCAACAAGTTAATCTTTGTGAAAAATCTGCATCTGCCATACGTTTCGGATATAAATTGTTTGCTCTTTGTTGCTGCCGTTCACTTATACTTCCAATGTACTTCGTAGTTCACGCTCCACGCAGTTCAATTTGCTTGGGTGGCATCCAATGAACTACTGCTATAGTAGGCGTCAAAACTAAAACACTTATGTTTTCTGGTGCATTAGCTTGCCGAATATTTTTTAATGATCACATTCGAATCGATGGATTTATTGTAATTGATCAAAGTAAAAATTGCTTAAAGTAAACTTCAACTTGTACTCTGTAAATGGTGTTAAGTTCTGAATCTCGTAATATCGCTCGCACGTCACATATCGCAGCACATTGAATTTCTCAGATTTGTTGAGATTGTTGTCTAAACAGCTTACAGAGATAGTATATATAGTAGTTGGTAAATTATATTTTTTGCATCCACTCTTTACAACCGGCTCCGGAAGATTCACAATGATGCTGTTTGTTGTTGTATTCACATTCTCAAAATTATAAACTTTCTCGTCAGGTGTCAGGCATCTCATTGGAGGATATGGTTGTAAGATGATCAAAGGTAATTTCATAAAAATTTCAATTGAGCTATTATTTCTTTCAACATATTTGTCTGCATTTACGCTCTTGAGACTTGCATATTTCTTTTTCAAAACATAGAAAGATTTCATAATTGCTAATAATTATTGCTAAATGTAAATTTCTTTTGTCAATCGTCCATAGATAGAATTCCAAGATATCACTTATGTTTTCTTGTGTAAAATCTTACTGCATATAGAAACGTTAGTGTCTGTCACAAATATGCGATTAGAAAATAACCAGTAAATTAACGGCTCTCATTATTTATGTTTTCAAATATTATTTATAAACATGTGTATTTTCATCATGAAATAGGCACAAGGATGTATTTATCGAAACAATTTGCTCAATTTTTTTATCGGGTGATATTTTTTATATTATATTCTTATCTCAAATTGTATGATACGTAATATAAAATTCTAAAAATATGTAATAATTTTACTCTCATTTTTACTTTCATTATAAAACATTATTTTAACAGAAAACAGAAATTGTTTGTAGTGAAAATTCGAAATTCTTATAATTATATTATAACCTATATTTTTTTACTTATGATCTTAATTGTAAAATCACGTAAAATTATAGAAAAATTACAAATTGCATAAATCTTTAATAGAAAATTATTTTTCAGGTGAACGTACCCATAGACGGTGACACACTTAAAAAGTAAATAACATCTGATGATTTGACAATCTCATCAAATTTAATTATGCCATTTTCCCACATTGTTAAGTCGAACTTTACAATAATATAATAGTAATCTTTCGTACAGGCTATATATAGATTTCTTGCTACCCAGTCAATGCAGAGACTATGGGGATAATGATCAAAGTTAGCTATTTTGTGATATTATTTTCATTAATCTTCAATGTCATTAGGTATCTTTCTGTTAGCCAATAAATTCTATGTTCTTGTATCGAATAAGCGACATATTTTACATATCTGAAAAAAGGAACAATTATAATTGTATAGTAAAAAGTTATAGTTGAAATTTCTAATTTTATAGTTATTACTGTATGTTGTAGTACTGTAATGTTGATAATAATAAACATGTGCATAATAATAATAACTTTAATTTTATATTTAATGTTAAAAATAATTTATGATAAATATAACTGTTTTTTATCAGTATACGTACCCTGACATTAAGGTATTAGTAATTCTTAAATCCACGTCCAATATTTTCATATCTAGATCCGTTGTAAGTAATAATTTAGGTATTGGATTTTCATGTGTAGTCGACACATTGATTAAATCCGTGTAAGGACCAGCAACAATTTTTAGTATGCGCACGTACTCGAAAATAATATGTCGTGTTAGATGATAGATTGTGCACCGTGTGCTCCAATTTTGTAGCTGTGATATTTTTATCGTCCCAGATTTCTTTAAAGTCCTCGAAGGAAGAACACTGCACTTGGTACACTTGTGTTATTTCATCGGCAAATTCTGGTTGGTTCCATCTGTAAAAATTTTAGCAAAACGAAATAAAAAGGAAGGCTAAAAGAACGTGGCGCAAGATGTTAGAGCGTAAAGAAGTCGAAATAATAATAAAGACTCTAAGTAACAGACATAATATATTAATAATCAGTCAGATATAAAAATATAAAAAATATGTCTGAAAAAATTGATTCGAGTGAACAGAAAATAATACATACGTACGTTTCGATCTTTTCAAGATCTTTTTCAGTGTTCGAGATGTCGTTAGAAAATAAATTAAATTAAATTAAAATTAAATTAAAATAAATTAAAATAATAAATTGAAATAAAATTTGAGCCATTTTATATTTTAACAAAATTATAACAGAATTATCATTTTGATATATTTATGTCGTTGAATTTAAGAAAAAGAAAGAATAGTGAAAGAATTTAAACTGAGAATTTGGATTTCTTACCTCAATGTCACAAAAATGTCGTTTACTTTTTCTGTAAATTGACTGTCGAATTGTACAAATGCTCTGAGAGATGTTGGCTTGCTCAAAATGCTTTCTAAAGATTTTAAGATCGTAAACATTAACACTGTTATATATAAGATTAAGTGGATTATCTCAGTAAATCAGAAAGAACAATTTAATGTGAAAATAAAGGAAAGAGAAAAAATAAATGTAAATGACAAAATATGGAAATTAGCAGAGTATTGATCTTTAAAAAGATAATATAAGAATTTTTAGCGTCATTTAAGATTTAGAAAAGTAATCGTTAATTCATTGCAAAAACGAATAAATAACTTTTATTAAAATGACAAGTACTTTTCGAAAAAATTCCTATAGCTTAAGAAGTCAGAAGTATAATATTTGCGACTGCTTTAATACAGAGTAACATATTAATAAAATTGATTTTACCTTAACTTATAACAATTTTTATGTAAAATGTTATGTTTATATTATGCTTTTCTGTTTCTTTTTAGAATTAAAATTTATATTCTTTTCAATACTGGAAGATATTTTTAGATTTGATTGCCACTCTCTCTTGAATTTAAATTATATTTATACCTTTTTATCATAGATTTTGTTATTAATGTTTTATTTTTTTGCAACTTACCGATGGATTCTGGAATGATAGAAATATTTGCAAGTACAATTTCATCGACTTCCCGCTTATTTCTCACAGTACTATCAAAATGGTTCCGGTCAGATTTGAATTTTAGTATATGATGCTCACTTTTCTCGGACATTGAAATATCCTTCATAAAGTGTAACATACGAAAAGAATTAAGTGAATATCATTGAGGCGATTGTTTCTGGCTTTTAATGATAAATTATATAATATATAAAATTAAACAAAAAATTACCATTCGTTTTTGGTTTGGTTAATAATACCGGTTTGATATATACCATTCCTAAATGATATAAATTGAATGTGATGTAGTTTTATTCATGAAATCTATTTTTTATTTATTTTTTTAAGGCATGTTGTATCAAACATAACTGTCAAAGGAAAATCAATCAATAGGTTAACGAGAGTCAATGAGGATTCATAACAGCTTTTATCAAGTACAAGCGAAAGTGACTTACACAGCTACAGTGGAGTGTAGCTCTTTGCAATTATTAAAACAATTTTGTCTAACGTTTTGATTCTTTCTCACGATAGGTTAGTTAACTCTATTCAATTATACCGTAATGCATATTTCTTTTTATAAATTTGCCGATATTACTAAAGTTTTATTAATGTTTGTACTTCAAGAATAAAAAGATTAAAAATATTGTTGCTTTACAGTTATTAAATATTAGTCATAGAATTATATAAATTCTTTTATTTATTACCTTGTCAAGTTTTTTCGTAAATTGTTTCGAATGTTCGTTATATTTTTAACACAAACAAATTCAGCAAATAATAAATATAAACCGATAATGTCTCGATAAAAATATGTGTATATAATTTTATATAAATGAATATATGTACAATAAAAATTAATATAAATTCTAGCGATAGTAGTTGAATATATGTTGATCGAAATATTAGTGTTGATAGATACAACTTGATGAATGATTTTTTTATCAGACAGATTTGCTATCTCGATATTTAGTAGCTCTGTTTCGTTATATAATTATCCTAAACCCAAAGAAATGATGCTAACTTTCTAAATTAATTTTATAAAATAAAATTATATATGCAGGATGTACCTCCTAGAAGTGGCCACCCCCTTTTATCTCTTAAACGAAAAGAGATAGACCATAACAAATATATATGAAATTAAATGGCTTTAACTGAACTTTATTGTGAGCATAGTGGTTGATTACAAAATTTATCTGTATTAAAGAACGGAGAGATATGTATAATTTTTTATAATAATGTAGATATTTTAATATAATAAAAGTTGTAGCGCCATTTGAAATGAATATAACGATGTATGATTTAATGTAAATATTTTACATATTATACGAGATTTTCCGGCTTGAAATATCGCGGGCGACGTCCACCATTTCATTTTCGGCCCTGCGATATAGCCAACTTCTGACTGAGTATCATGATTAAATGACAACATGACATATGTCAACCTCTAATGCACGAGTCAGAAGTTAGCTATATCGCAGGGCCGAAAATGAAATGGTGGACGTCGCCCGCGATATTTCAAGCCGGAAAATCTCGTATAATATGTAAAATATTTACATTAAATCGTACATCGTTATATTCGTTTCAAATAGCGCTACAACTTTTATTATATTAAAATATCTACATTATTATAAAAAAATTATACATATCTCTCTGTTCTTTAATACAGATAAATTTTGTAATCAACCACTATGCTCACAATAAAGTTCAGTTAAAGCTATTTAATTTCATATATATTTATTATGGTCCATCTCTTTTCGTTTAAAAGATAAAAGGGGGTGGCCACTTCTAGGAGGTACACCCTGTATATATATATATATATAATATATATATATATATATATTAAAATTATATATATACATATATATATATATATTAAAATTATATATATAATACATATATATATATATATATATATATATATACTTTATTCATCTTTTTTTACAACATCGTACATACTTTTTTTTCAGATTGAATTATTTTATTTTATCTTATCTTATCATATGTAGAATATATAATTTATTTTCATTCATGTTTAGTTACACTACTAACTGCAATAACATTCAATTGTTTCTTAATCAAACGAAAATATCTCTTACCTGCGTGAAATTTAATTCCTGATACATGGAAACATTTTCTTCCTGCAGGATGTTTAAAGTGGTATAATCCTTCGGCGTGATAGTTGCCTTTATCAATACTAAACTTTTCAATAAAACACAAAAAATTGTTCCAAACATGATTTGCATTTTTCGTAAACGTTTGCACTCAATCAGTTCCCTGTTCAACCATTCCCGTTGAATTCTCAGTTAATTGTTTTTCTCACTCTACTAATTCTGATGTGTTAATCGAATTGATATTAATTCAAATATATATAAATTTATTTTCGATAAATTCCTTAAAACTCAGTTTTAACGAATCATAAGTTATTATCTTCTAATATTATGTTTTTAGATTTCTCTTTATGGTTCGCGATCACAATATATACCTTATGATTAAATTATGGAATTCTTAGAAAATAAATAATTTTTTTAGGAGAAGAAATGGCAATGCAAAATGATACAAAATGATCATTTGATTGTATAGCGAAAAAAGGAATATAATTATCAGCTTTTTTTATTAATATTATAGTAGAAAAACGTCGATAAAAAAATAACTGTAATCAAATTACAAACGATCAGAGAAGTTATAGAATTATAGATGTTGTAACATTTTCAGCCACATTCAAGCACACGCAGCGTGTAATCGAATTCACTTGAATATTTATTATATCTTTAGTTTTAAATATGTAATTATGACAATTCGTTCGTACGATTGTGTTACTATATACAATTGTGTTACTACGTATGCTTTTTAAAATCCACTATTCGTACACAATTTTTTATGATATTCATTTGATGCAGTTTGAATCAAACGATAAGTAACGCGGTAGTGTGTTTGGCTTGCGATCACAATACTAACTGACTTCGAATGATCAATCTGATCATGTGTTGCCACGCAGTGACGTCTTATTAACTGCATTCCGTTTGTAATTTATTTTTTTCCACGGAGATACTCGCGTTATTTCAAAGAGAATTAAAATCTTTAAATTATTTGACAAAAAAGTTATACATGTATAAAACAAAATAGTTCAATGTATAAATAAAAATAATTATATGTATATATAATTGTTTAATCAATTTTATTATAAACTTTTTACATTAATTTATTTCTGAGTATCTTTTCTTTGGCATAAGATGTACGTTTACTATAAAAAGATATGCTGATTATAAAAAAAGTAATAATGGATTTAAAAAAGCGATTTATACGTTTTCTGTGACATTCATATAATGCAGTTTGAATCAATACATAGCGTTTTTAATATAAATCATGTAGTTCTAGTATAAATAAATACAAATTTTCAATAGCACATAAATAACTAAAATATATAAAATAATTGTACGAGTTATTATTATCGTTATTTGCATCAAATAAACTTATAATAACGTATATAATATAATTTTACTTAATATTAACTTAACATAATATATTTAATATAATATATAATATAAAAAACTAATAATATTAATTACTTTATTATTTTAATTATATTATTGTAATTTTATATATGACAATTTTTATATGCACCAGTGTGCATTAGTGCAGCCAATCAAATTCTCTCTTTCCCCGTTATAAATCAATTACTTTTTTCAAAAAAGTGATTTTCTAATGCTTCGGTCTCCTTTTTTGATTTATTCAGTTCATTTATATATTAAATGATGTATAACATTTTTATTTTCAAAACTATTTTCATATTTTTAAAGAAACATTCTGCTAAGAATAATTAAGAATAATGTTGTGTGTCAAGAATAACTAAGAATAATTAAACAAGTATTCATACAATGGTCTCTTTTTTAAATTCATGCATAATAATAGACGTATTTTCAAATATTTTATAAATTTATAAAAATTTATTTCCTCCACAGCGATATATGTATGATATATGTATGTACAAAGATTTATATGTACAATTTGAAATAGAAAAAAGCTCCAAAACATAATATAAAAAAAGTTTAAAAAGAAAATTACAATTGTGTGTTAACATTTACGAATTTACAAAATGGTTAATATTAAAAAGTATGCAGATCTTATATAATATATAAAATACAAAAGTACACATGTCGAATATCTAATAAGTATCGTAAGAAAACAAACATTCAATTATTAATACATGCATATTTATTTACAATTTGTTTCATTAATTAACAATAAGTTATTTCTATCAGTTAGATAATACATATAACAATAATATTTATTGGATTCAATATATCATCTCTTTTACGTCACTTCTTAGAACTACAATATTTTCGAGTTAAAATTTAAAGTTCGATTTAATTTCCGCCCGCATTGCAACTAGACAGCATTGATATCAAATGGATAGTTAACCTTTAATTACGTCAATAGATGACGAAACACAATGTTTTATGACACGTGACTGTCGTCAATAAATAACTTTAAGATATGCTATGATGCCTGAGGTAGCATACATTCGTTTTATATACGTTTCTTAAACGTATCCAATATTTTTTATTCGTAAAACATTAATAAGAAACACATTACACAAGAAAAGAGGGATTAAGAGCCGCGGATGGTAGTGCGTACATTTTTTTTTAAAGATTAATTATTCGCAAAAATTTAAAACGTGCACAAGGCATATACATATTTTACTTGGTGCATTTACCAAGATATAGATTCTCAAATTTTGAGAATTCTGTAGACCTCTCTTTACTCCTTGAAGAGATGTAGACGAGAAAAATATCGGGGCAAAGTCGCTGAATCGAGAAACGAACCCGAGTCTTTCGCTTGCCGGACAACTGCTCTTACCACTGAGCTATTCAGCCTCACACCTTTGGGTGGATATTGGATTGGTGTGAATAAATGAAGAAATATTTTATTATAGTGTTTTCGAAAGTTCTCGAGATAAGCTACAAGAATAAATAATAAAAAATAGGAGATTCCGTTTAAAAAATTAATGATGACCTTCAAACGGCTTTCCAAGGTCAACTAATGACACCATCTTATGGCTCCCTTTCAACTTTATAACTTTTGTCTGAAATATTTTTGTCTGCAGTACTCACCCAGTGAGGAATGAATTATCAAAAAGTTATCGATTTGATGTCAAATTGACTAAATTAATCTGCAATCGATTTTTACATCAATTCGATCAACTGGTGGGCATAATTTCGATTTTTATTGATATCCATATTTCGTTAATAATGATGTATTTTTGATTATTTTACTAGATTTTTAATATTTAATATTTAATATTTAATTTTAAATTTTATTATATAGGATGACCTAGAACTCGCACATCAGCCGTTTTTGAAATCATTTTAAGAAAAAATTTGAATGCCAAAATACAAAAAAAAAATATATATATTATAATAATTTTTAAATAAAAAACATTTAAAGCTGGTCTAAGCGCGTGAACTTAGGCAATCTATTAACCAACTGTAAATGCTTTTTATATAAAAATTATTATATACCCTTAAGAATTGAGCATTAGAATTTTCGTCTTAAAATGATCTTTAGAAAATGTATGATGTGCAAGTTTTGAATGCAAATACTCTGTATATTTTTATAAATTAAAATCTAAGCAAGAAAAAGTTAAAATAAATGTTTGCAAATGTTTCCAACAAAAAATTAAAGATTAATAAAAATTATATAAAAACATTTTAACAATTTTTAAAATCATTTATTAAGAAATTCACTGTAGAAAATTTTATTAGAAACAGCGAGAACATTTTATGATTACAAAGAAATCCAATCTAGTTAGAAATAAAACTAGCTAAAATCTAAAATTAGATGTTGTATATAAGATGTTTGCCTCAAAAATAATCTTGATAAATATTTCGTTAACTTATACTTATAATTACTTATACTTACAATATGTACTTATATGTATACTTATATAAAAGAATTTTAACAAATTATAAAGTAACTTATTAATCAAAATGCCATTGTAGAAAATTTAACTTAGACATAATTACAAAGAAATCTAATCCAGTTAAAAAGAAAATTAAAATTTAAAATCAGATGTAAGATGTTTGTCTCAAAAATAATCTTCAAATATTTCATTAACTTACTTATAATTACTTACAATATGTACCTATATGTAATATAAGTACATATATGTTACTTATGTGTAACATATATAAGAAAATTTCTCTCGTTAATGTATAATAAGTGCATAAATACTAACAATTATAAGTTATGCACTCATATTTAAAACTATATTTAAAATATTTCTCTTAAATAAAATTGCATTTAAATCACAGCAGCATTATATGACTTAGGACAGGCCTGTGGCCTAGTTTCGTAGCAAGAAATAAAAAGAATTAAACAATAAGCAAAAATCAGCCAAAAAATGCAAAGCAGTTACAAGTGTAACTTGAAAAAAGAATCCGTTTTTTATGGTTAAACTGGCTGTATATCTTTTTCTTTCCAATGTAAACTCTAATAATTACTACTAATATAATTACTCAAAATGTTACTATTAATTCAAAATGTTTACTATTAATTCAAAATATTACTAATTATTTAGAATAAAATATTATTATTATAACAGAACAGACATTTTTGTACTATAGTAACAAAATAAACAAAAACTTTAAACTTTTTGTCGCCAGTAATGATCAGCAATTTATATAACACTGTATTTCAAAATTACTGCCAGCCAGCGTAGTGTCAGTTATAATTCACGTTACTTTACGTAAACTCAAGTCCCTGGCACTATAGCTATTCTTTCAATACAAAAAAATTCTCTGAAATGTCATCATTAATGTACGTCACTATGCGATGCTGATAGTCAAGTTGATCTATATATAACGGTGTGGCTAGTGTCACTAATTTGAAATTATTTAATAATTGCTTTCATTTATAAAGAAATTTTTTGCAAATTTAATAAATTTATTGTTTACAGTCGTTTATATTCTTTTTCAGTTTCACAATGCTTACGTGCGTTGTACTTATAGTTGTCCAAAAAATAAACCGAGCACTTGACTAGCAGCGGACATTTAGAGAGAATTTTACGGCTCTGCCAAGGACCTACATATATAATACATTTGCAGCGTTGATAACAATTTTGCGTTGAGCACAGCCTAAGAAAATTCTCTATAGTCGACCTAAAACCGGACTTTTGATTGCCTTTTCTTCATCGTTAGGCATTGATTGTAGATATCAGTTCTCTTCTACACACTGCCATCATGTTGTTTACGCCATGGTGCATTTGCAAGCCAAGTACTAGCAACTTTGTCACATACTGTCAAATCTTTTGCTTCAAAGCGTGTCATTAGAGCACCTAAACATTCAAACAAAAAGTATATTATATGTATTATGTATAATATATATTTTATATGTATTTTCGCGACGTATCCCGCGTATTAATCAACAGGGTGACGAGTGAAAACTTGAGTTTTTCTTTCCCTGTCGGACAAAGAAGCAATACGGGCTAACGACTTTTCGGTTGATTTTTATGTTCTCTGCCGTTCCCTCTTGGGAATAAACACGATATACTCACCATTGATCGATGCAAGATGATTAAATACGTATTTTCTTCGTTTTTTACGCCGACTTCGTGATGGCCACACGTCTCCTCGTCCTTGCGTTTTTTGCACAAAACCACTCACTTTTTCTTCTACTAAAAATGAGGAATCTAACCACGACACCGCACGACACGTTCTCGCGCGAATTGTTGGTGCAGTTTTTCTCTCTCTCCCTCTGACTTTTATATCGTATATATATGTATTTACGCGACGTATTAATCAAGATGACGATCAATGCAAACTTGTTTTTCTTTCGACCTCGGACAAAGAAGTAAAATACGGGCTAAGACTATTGCACTACAATCACGACTCGCCATCTTGCCATACACTGACCACACTGCCACCGCCACGGGCGCCACGCAGCACGCAGTGTTGAGTGTTGGGCAGTTGCAAAATATTTTCTAGTGCATGCGCACTAAAGCAGACGATATGAATCCTTGTAAAAATTTGCATAAAAAATTATAGATGAATTATAGAAATTATAATGCTACCGAGTGCATACAAATCAGCAGTATATAATATATGTGCAACACATCAAAAAGTCATCGAAATATGAAAAATATTGATGTACTGCATCCCTATAATAATATTAATATTTATATTAAAAAATGTATTTTACATTAATTTATGTAAACAATATAGCTCATGTGTCGTATATAACAACACATCAAGAAGTCATCGAAATATGAAAAATATCGATGTACTGCATCCACGTTGATAAAATTTGATCGAATCGACATCAAATCCATATCTTTTCGATCATTCATTTCTCACTGGATCAGTTTTTGAGATATTCGACTGTTACGGATGGTCTGCGATGCCCTGTATACAGGATGTTTCCAACAATACACATCAGTCGGGTTGCCTATCTGCTCACCAGGGGCATGCTTTATTGGACTCGCAAAATAAGATCAGAATGCAAGTTCGAAGAGAAATAAGGAAAGGGAAATCGGCTTTTATCACTCTGTAGGGAACAGTTGCTCAATTTAATAATATAAATAAAATATTATTTAATTTATTTAATAATTTAGATAAAACATAACATAAAGTAAACATAGTTTAATAAATAGTTTAATAAGTAAATTTGAACGAATATAATAAAAAATACTTATAATGAAAAATATTTCTTATCTTTAAATATAATAAATTATAAAAATGGATGTAATCACTATTTTTTCCTAAACAACGAGCAATCCTGTCCATGAAAATGTCTCCCACTCGTTTTACCATAAAAGAAGTGATTTTTGCACACGCGTTACGAAATCTATTTTTAAGAATTTCCACATCATTTTCCTACAAAATTTGATACACTTTATTTTTTAAGAAGCTCATAATAAAAAATATTTATTATATCTATGCATCCATCACTTCCAAAAATTTCTTCGTAGAATATTTCCCCGGAGAATATTTTTCAAAAATATATTGTCCGGCATCATTGAAATTCATTTACATAAATTGAGTAAGTTAGTATATAGTTGACGACATAATAAGTTGGTAAATAATAACAATGTTTGGTATGTTGCAATAAAAGAATAAAAAATAAATTTTTAAAATAAACTTGCATGTTCAATAAGCTATTCAAAAAAATTTAAACGTCGTGGCATATCACCAAATATGAGCTCTTATTGTATGCTATTTAAAAGAATGCCAACCTTCCCCCTCCCCCCAGGAATGTTTAATAATTTTTTGAATGCTAACACGGGTCATGTTCAAATCAACAAACAAGAGATGATCAAGAAACTATAAAAACAGAAATGCACCTGGATACTCAACACAAGTTTGTTGACGTAAAAAATCATACGTAAGAGATTACGATGGAAGGAAATAATTATTCACGACGAATTAACGGACATGATCCTTATTTATGGCAAGTGTCGTAAAAATCAAAGGCAAATGGCTACACTTTACGCTCAAAGATTTCCGGACAGACGACATGTGGGCATAGTTTCTTTCACCGCTTATGTGAAAGATTATAAAGAAATGGACAATTTTACAAATCCATCAGGCCCATTCATGTTCCACAAGAAATAATTAATGCTGTTCAAGAGGCTGTTATAACAAATCCTTATATAAGCACAAGAGCAGCTGCCGCAGATTTGAAAATGAATCAGATTACCGTTCATAAAATTATTAAATATTCCCTGGGTTGGCACCCATTTAAACGACATACAACATACGAGCTCATACCTGGTGATATGCTACGACGAATAAATTTTTGTGAATGGGTTATTCAACACGTAAGTATATTTATATTAGTATAGTTATACTTAAAAGTATATTTATATTAGTATAGTTATATTTAAAAATTTATTTTCTAATTTTTTGTTGCAACATATCAGACGTTTTGTTGTCGATTGATATTAGTCGTCAACTTTATACTAATATTCTATACTCGATTTACGCAGGTGAATTTCAATGATGTCGGAAACGATATATTTTTGAAAAATATTCTCTGGAGTGACGAGGCAATTTTTAAAAGTGACGGACATAATGAGCATCATTATGCGCAGCATAATCCACATGTATGAAGGAAGTAAACATTCAAAGCAGATAGGCTATAAATGTGTGGCTAGGAATAGTAGGGGATCACATTATCGGTCCCGAATTTATTCAAGGCAATGCAGATTATTATGCAAATTTTTTACTCCATCCGTTTGATGAACACCTTGAAGATGTGCCACTTCTAGTTAATAAACTAGAAATAATATTTCAACAAGATGGACATCCCGCTCACACTTCTATTTTGGCAAGAACTATGTTAAATCAAAAATTTCCTGGGAGATGGATCGGACTTCATGGTCCTCAGGAATAGCCACCACGCTCTTCGGATCTCGCACCCATGAACTTTTTCATGTCATAGGGCTTCTTAAAAAATATAGTTTACCATACCCTGCCGGAAAATGCAGAAATTCTTAAAAACAAGATTCATAATGCGTGTGCATAGATCACTCCTCTCATGCTAAGACGAGTGAGAGAAAATTTCTTGCGCAGAATTACTTCATGTTTAGAAGAAAATGGTAGTTATATTGAACAATTATTATAATTTATTATATTATATTTAAAGACCAAAAATATTTTTCATTATAATTTCATTATTATTTTTCATTTTTTATTATAATTTTTTTGTTTAAATTTGTTTGTTAAATTTTATTTACATTATTATATATGTTTATATATACTATTAAATATTATAATTAAATAAAGTGTACTAATCTAAATTAATAAAAATTCTAAAATATGTGAATGTTGCTAGTCAAATAATCAAAGGATCATTGAAAAAAGTGTAGTCGACCAAACTAGCCAGAAAATTTGTTTATTAATTCGACGTTTCGACCTTATGGTTGTTGTGCTTATCAAGTATATACGATGTAATAATAATCAGGAGACAGGCATAGATAATCTTGCAAACTGCACGAGTCACATTAACAAAAAACGTTATTTAACTAGATTTGAACTTGAGAGAAATTGATGCGTCCGTGTGAGACTTCGTCAAGAAACTGATAATATGTTACAACCTTTAATGTTATAACTTAAATTAATAATATGTTATAACCTATATTAAATAACGGATAAACTATGTGGAGAACACACATTCCCTATATATTATATTCTCTATTATATTCTCTATTATATTCTCTATATATTATTAAATGTATTGTATCTATATTATTAAATTTCTATATATTATTATAATCTATATTATTAAATATATTTTATCTGTATTATTAAATTTCGCAACTGTTCGCTATAACAGAATGACAAAAGTTGATTTCCCTCTCTTTAATCTTCGCCGAATTCGCATTCTAATCTTATTCTGCGAGCCCAATAAAGCATGCGCTTGACGGTGAGCAGATAGGCAACCAGACTTAAAGATGTGTATGTTGCGGAAACACCCTGTACGACTGCATACTTTTGTAATCATCAATATAATTTGAATATATAGTGAGTAATTGAATAAAAAGATATAGTACATGTATATGTATACTTATCACGAATAATGCAAAAAGTGCATTCATGATAACTGTTATAAATTCAAAAATAATTATATTATTATATTTATATATTCACAATTAATTATAGAAGACATTATTCGCGTTTCCTCTTTCATTCATTATTTTACAATCAGTTTGTAATTATCGGTTATATATAATGTAGAAAATTAATTATATTCCCATGTTCAAGAAAATATTGTTTATACATATACATATAATCACAATCATTAAATTTTGTTTCGATTACTCAAAAACACAAATTAGATATATCATCATATTATTTGATTTTGTACAATCATGAAAACGGATGTGATATTTTTTAATAATAATCACAATTGTATGGAAAGTAAGATTACAAAATTTAATTTTCATTGATACATGTAACATTAAGATTAAACCTAAAAATAATCAGATCAGAATCAATTTAGAAATATCTTAGAAATATTTTTTCTACATTAAGATTTATTGAGTTGTTTGGAAAATAAAATAAACATTAATTTAAGTGTATCGGCTAAATAATATCGACCAGATTCAGTAAGGCATCCTCTATGTTCTTTCTTAATGCTATAATATTTTTCAGACAAAATTCGAAATTTGGTCTAGCATCCGCTGCACTCCAGCAACGTAGCATCAACTGGTACAATGGTGACGGACAGTTAAGAGTCATTGGCAACCTGCCTCCAGCACGTACATAATTTATCACTTCTTTATCAGTCTTGGCAACATAAGGTTTCTCACCCAACGATGTAATTTCTCACATTAATACCCCAAATGACCAAACATCGCTTTGAGAAGTAAATTTTCTGATCATCAAAGATTCGGGTGCCATCCAGCGAACAGGAAGCAAATCTTCTCCTTCCTAAAACATGATTTTAACAAACCTTTAATTTTCTGCTTCAAGTTGTTCATTTTTAGAATATGTGCAAAATAAAAAACCTTTATCTTAACCTTTATATTTATTTCTTGCTGTATATAAAAAACTATTTATATTCTATATTACTTAAAGAAACAAGGCAGGATACTATTATAATAAGAAAATGGAAAGTATTTTCAAAAGAATTCATTTTTTAATCCTTAATTTTTTTCATAATTGTACTTATCATGCGATAATAATCTTCCTTGTAGATATTTCTAGCTAGTCCAAAATCTCCAATTTTTATGACACGATTCTCTCGATTTCTCGAAGATACTAAACAATTGCGACACGCTAGATCTCTATGTACGAAACGCAACTCTTCCAAATAGCAACAACCACGCGCAACATCTTCGCACATAGCGAGCAAATCTTGCAAACGCAAAGCATGCGAATCTGATGCTTGCAAATTTCGACATTCTCTCAAATATTTTAACAGATCTCCAGTTTCCATCAAATCCAACATTAGTAACGGAGAATCACCATCTAAACAAACGGCCAACAATCTTAATATATGTTTGTGTTGAAAATGACTCATAAGCTTGGCTTCTTTTAACAATTTCTCTTTCTCATGGGAAGAAGCATCTTTTCCAAGCGTTTTTATTGCAACGGATATCTCTGTGCCCGATTTTTCTAAATCCTTCATCTTTCCTTGATACACCTGCAAAATATTTCACACAAATTTACATACGTACTTTATTGAAAAATGTATAATTTAATGTCAAGTAGTATTTTACTTTATATTACTTTATATTTTACTTTATATTAAATAATTCAGTGAAAAATATATAATAAAGTGCATGCTTGTTTTCTCATGTAAATTTTATATTACTTATAATCTATTTAAAAAATTCATGTAATTTTGTATCTTTATTAAAAATACGTATCTGTTTTGTTAATCCAAAAAATAATTTAAAATATTGCTTGAAAAAATTAATTTTTACCATTCCGCATGCGCCGCTACCAAGATGTTTCGTAAGTGTAATTTGATTTCGTGCGATTTTAGTTATCGCACATTCATCCTGGTTATAATGTAACATAGAACTGTAAGTCATATTGAATTGAGTGTTTCGGCAAGGTATTACAGGTAGAATCGCCAATTCTACATCGGTCATTGTAGAAGACAAAAATTGTTCATTATTACCTCTGCGTTGACGATACACTATTATAAAATTTCGATTTGATTATGTAATAATATGTATTATAAAATTTACTGTATTTTAGTAAATTTATTCGTTTAGTTTTACATATGTAAATTACTATTTTCAGTAAATCTCTAGATATTATATCAGGTATATATGTATAATCTACAATTCAAGTTGACATTTATATCAAATATACTTACAACGATAAATGTAGCAAATGCTGATTTACGGAAATATAACCAACATCAATAATAAGTAATATTTATTCGCTATTATTCCAGGAGTGCTCGAAATATCTAGATTAAATAAAAGTATAATTTTAATATCCTCGTGTGTGTATATTTTTATAAATTTTTATAAATTTTTATAAATTTATTTTTACTTATAACTTTATTATAAGACTCAATTTTTTAAATTTCAGATTCCTATTCATATCCAAAAAATATCAGCACATAATATTATAATATCTATGCAGCACAAAATATTACAACTACTTTGCAACAATGTTGCAATATTACAAATTGCAAGGCAACATTACGGAAACATTGTAGAAATATAATTTAACAAAATGTGAATTAGATATTAGCAATATGTTATTCATATTTTGAAAACACTTTAAAACTATAACACTTTTTAATTTATCTATAAAAATGTAATGTAATAATACATTTTTTTTATGTCTGTATATATGCGATGAATTTTACTTTTTTGCAGAAGTCAAATGAATTATTGACACAAATAATATCGAGTAAATATAATTCTAAGCTACAGATAAGCCTTGCTATTTTTTTATTAAAATGTAAATAACATTTTATATCAATGTTACAATATATTTTATGATATATTTTCACTTCATGTACGAATACGATATTAATCTTCAAAGATAATATATCTTTTTATTATATTAAGAATATATATTATTATATCTATCATTATATTTTTCTATGCATTTTTCTGTACTGTTCACATGCAAAAATATGTAATTATAACGAATTTTTTAAATTTTTAAATAAAAATGTAATTAAGAATAATTAATTCTATAATTAATATATAAATGTGTATAAAATACCCATTATAAGAGTATATAGAACATTTAAAATAAAAAAAGTGATTCGTAAGTAATAGTTTAGAACAATTTTGTATAAAAATATAACATTTTATTTTATATGATGTCATGTTTAAATATAATTTTGCAATATATTAGATACCATAAACTAGTATTTATATCAAGCTTTTTAATTTAATTAAATGTTTCCAAGATATTTATCCATCAAAAACAAAAAATATTTTATACATAATGTTATTAAATAGCTGCAATAACATTGCATTCTTTCCAATATATTACACTGTAATATTGCTACAATATTTCATTGCAAAAAGCGGATACTTTAACTTTATCACAAGCTTATAACAATAACTCAGCAAAGTTTCGCATTCGATTTGCAATATTGCAATGTTTCAATGAAATTATTTTTCAATATATCCACAACCTTATCGTGCTGTATGGGTATTTTCATTTGCTTACCACGTTTGCTACCACGTGTTGAAAAAATAAATCTTTCATCAGCCGGCCATATAAAGGTTTCCTCATATTCGAGATATCTCAATATCAAGCGAAACTTGTATAAAGTTCCCGATTGTAAATTTTTGACATAACATATTACTTTATCTTTATAATTCATTTTAAAATAATTCATTGTTTGCCACTTTTCTGCTGCAATATCTTTGTACTCTAGTGTAAAAAAGATCGTCAGATTAATGTTGGAGATCCATGAAATGTTCATGCTATTTATGTCGACCTCGCTCGAAGTAATATTGTTTGGTTCTGAGAATATGTGAACGATCTCGTTTAAACTCTCGTTGTAGAAATCGCTGATATTAATTGGATACACACGCACGTATATCAAGTAATCTTGTACTGATAGCGACAAGTTAATCTTTGTGAAAAATCTGCCATCTATCATACGCTTCGGCATATTAATAAATTGTTTGCTCTTTTGTTGTATGCCGTTCACTAATATAACTGACTTCCAATGTACTTCGTAGGTCAGGTCCGCGCAGTTTAATTTCTTGGGTGGCATTCATTGAACTACTGCTATAGTAGGCGTCAAAACTAAAACACTTATGTTTTCTGGTGCATTAGGCCTGCCCAAATTAGTTTTCATTGGTATCACATTCGCATTGAATGGATTTATTGACAATTGATCAAAGTAAAAATTGCTTAAAGTAAACTTCAACTTGTACTCTGTAAATGGTGTTAAGTTCTGAATCTCGTAATATCGCTCGCACGTCACATATCGCAGCACATTGAATTTTTCAGACTTGTTGAGGTTGTCTAAACAATGACTTACAGAGATAGTATATATAGTAGTCGGTAAATTATATTTTTTGCATCCACTCTTTACAACCGGCTCCGGAAGATTTACAAAGATGCTGTTTGCCGATGCAGTCACATTCTCAAAATTGTAAACTTTTTCATAAGGTGTCAGACATCTCATTGATATGAGTAGGTATATAGGGGGAGTTCTAACCCAGGTCCTCTCAGGGGAGGTGAGGCGCGCGGGGGATTACGGCGGCGCAGGGAAATGACGTCACGCGGGACGGAGGGGATTTCGGCAGCGGCGCGTGTTAGATGTTTTATCGCAATATTGTATTACATGCCCGATTGATAAAATATTTATAAACAATATAAACAGCGGTATTCCTTAAGCAATATTGTATTATATATCTTAACGCGTTGGAACATGTTTTTGCAAAACAAAATGGCTCTCGCGATACACCCCACCCCCACCCCACCCCCTCGCCCCCAATATAGGTACCCACCCCCACCCCCACCCCGACCCCCACTCCCTCGCCCTCGATATAAGTAATTGTAGATTCTTTCCCCGTTCGACGTATCCTTATCTCTCTCGCATTGGATTACACAGCATGAGAATTTGTAAACAATATAAACAAATGACACCTCCCAGAATCGTCCTCCGTAATTTTTTCTCGGAAGGAATACAACGCGTATGAGCGCCGATGTTCGGCTGCTTTGCACCCTTGCTTTCGTGGTACACCCCTCACCCCCGATATAAGTAATTCTAGATTTTTTTCCGTTCGACGTATCCTTATCTCTCTCTCTCATTGAATTATACATCATGCGAATTTATAAACAATATAAACAAATGGCACCTCCCAGAATCGTCCTCCGTAATTTTTTCTCGGAAGAATTTTTAACCTATCAGCGCCGATGTTCAATCGTTTTATAAACGCAAGCAAACACAAAAAAAGGTACACCACGATATAGTAAACTTAAAACTTTTTATTCATGTTTTTACATATTTTTTATCTTACGTATTATATGGACTAAAAGCTAAAGCCGCCAGCTCGCAATCGACGAGTTGATGCTTGTTGAAAGCGTCACTCGCGCGTATTACATTCGATACTTCTTTAGGATCCGTTACAGCGGACGCGATATTGGAGAATTGCGTAAAGACATCGATTGTTTGGATAATTTTATCTAATCGATCAAAAGTTACATCTATGCATTGATCGAGATCGAACATACGATGTAACGTCGATTCTACCATCATCATGCATACGTTCGAAGATTCGAGACTTATGAGTTTAGCGTCGTTAATCGTACGAACTCGCACTGTTAGCGGTCCAACGCTTATAAAATTATACATGTCGTGAGAGTCGTTCCGAAGGAGATTTAGAATATCGCGACGTTGCTCGCAGAGTCCCTTCCATGTTTCGAGAGATAATATCAGTCCCTTTCCCCGATGATCTCCTATGATAATCTCCACGTAACTCAGCGGACTCACGTTGATACAGATTTCGAGGAATTTGAATTCCGTAGCTGTCAATGCGTATCGTCTGCCTAGTATACGAACCGCACGACGCTCCGACGAAATGCTACGGGAAAAATTAAAATTAAGTAATACTAATAATACAATTTGTAAAAAATAGAAAAATAGAAAAATGTTAAACGAAACTTACTCGTCGTATTTGTTCTCAAATGATGGAGTTTTATCACGACTCGGCACGTATTTATTCACGTGTCTTCCGATATCGCCACTGCTGCTACCGCTGCTGCTTCTTTCAACGTAGCACATTTCTCTGGGAGGTTATGAAAAGTGAATCCACGAGCGGTTAACGCGACACTGATCGTACAGGAATTAATCGGTTATATCCGACGCTCATTTATTAAAAATATAATGTAGTGGTGGGGGATCAATGTTTCTAACGCATTGGAATTTAGGAGAAGGGGGAGGCGGTGCTCGAACAAAAGAATTCTTAGAAACGCATGCAAAGGATTAGGGTGGGGTAAATAAGAGATAACGCATATGAATGTTTACATATTTTATTTTTATCGCAATTCTTTCTGGCGTCGCGACCACCAGTTAAATATTTTGAATACATTTTGTAAGGCGCAATTCTTAACATGTTTTCCACATCGCATACTATTCGTATCGTCTAATTTATTTAGAGCATCGATATCTTCGTAATCCGCATTCAAGGTTTCAATAATACAGCCGTTCCCCGCATCGTCTAGTATATCGGCCAACCATTTTCGCTTTTCAAGTCCTTTGACGTACACGACGGACGATTCTTCTTCTTCTTCTTCTTCGTGTATCGTACCAACGACAGCTGTTGTAATCGCACGCTGAGCCAAGCCATACGGAACGTTTCCGTCTTCCCATTGTAATCCGTGATGATTTCTAATCAACCATGAGACTTGACATCGCTCAGATTTTGTAAGCGTGTGCCACGGTACGGGACTTGCGAAAAAGTAATGCGATAGAACGTATCCCTTTCTCAAGATTGCCGCTTCCTTCACGACAAAATTTTTCCCAACGATAAATCCTTGCAGATCCACAAACGTTGGTACGGACATGACGAGATCTCTCTCTCTTCGATACGCC